ATAGTATGATTATTAATATTACATTTTTTTTATTATACATGCTAATTAAAATATATAATCATATAAAATATTTGATAAAATTAATTAGCATTATCATTACATGTTGGAATTTTAGCATTGATAACATATAGGTATGACATGTTATGCAAGTGGATTTACAATTTTAATTTGTTATTTATATATTTTATTTTAATTATGTATTATTACATTACTTATATCAAGTAAAATATACTAGGTTCTATAAGTTCGATAAAATATATATACATGATAAATAATAGTCTATTATTTATAGAATATAATTATTTTTAGTTTGCATTTATTCTTTGCATTAATTCTTTGCATTAATTCTTTGCATTAACTCTTGATATTCTAGCAAAATAAATATTTAAACTAATCTACAGACTTTCAGATGCTTATCATTTATGCTTATTATCTAAACGATATACAACATCACTCATTGCAATCTAGAGTCGCGTGGCATGTCATCCGTAAGATACCTGTAGAGTCGAGCTTCTGATATTTACATTCTACAAAAGCCCGGATCTACAGGGTAGATCACGAATGTGCCTATTCTTTGCAACCCCTTCTTGTCGTTTCCACTCAGTCGTAATCTGTAAAATAAAATTTCCCATTTAATATGCTGCTTTTGACATCTTACGCAATCATATTTACGAATTAAAATCTTTTACTTTATGCTTAATGAATATCAGATTTTTTGCTTTGTATTTTCAAAAATTAAAATAATAATTAAAATAAGAAAAAAAAATCTCACGCAGTATAATTTAACAAATCCGACATCTGATATTAATAGACATTTTTTTCTGGGATAGAGAAAGTATTTAGTACGAGAAATAAAAGAGAGATAAAAGAATTTCAAATCAATTAAAGAGAATTAGATTTAATCCCGAGTAATAGATAGTCGTTTAAAGCCATGGCAGATTAAAAGTCAAATTCTGGTTGCGCCAACATATGTGAACCACCAGAATATTTCTTATCTTACAAATTTCAGAAATAAATCTATAATTATTATAATGTATAACATATAGAATAATTAGAATAATTAATATAGAAAAAAATAATTTAAAAAAAATAATTTTACGCAGCAATTTAATAAATCCGATATTTGATGCTAATAGACGTCGTTTTTTTCAGCAATAGAGAAAGTATTTAGCACGAGAAATGGGGAAGAGGAATGAAGGAATTTTAAATCAATCGAAGAGAGCGAGATTTAATCGCGAGTAATAGACATGACCATTTAAAGCCATGGCAGATTAGAAGTCAGGCTCTGGCCGCGCCACCGTACGTGACGCCGGAAAACCTTTGCCGAGAGATACAGGACGTGACTTGGCATGCATATCCGGAGTATGAGTTAAAGGAAGTCGTGTATTATAATAGCGCCTACCTGACGCGATTACTTTCTGCGATTTTAATGCTTGATTCGAAGCGCATTGTATCGCGCAGCACGATCCTTTATCCGCCGCTCGCATCGGTTGGAGTATCGTCGAAATTTAAAAAAATTTTTTGGATATAAATCGCGATATTGTACTTGCTAATAATGCATAAAAAATGTTGAATATTTTTATTAATATTTATATCTTTTCAGGGCACTCACGTGTCGTCAAGTTTCGATGTGTATTTCATGTTTACATGAATATTTTGAGGGCCAATACCTGAGATATCCTCTTTGAATGCAGGTAAAAATGTCGAATATACTTACATTTTTTTAGCGCATATGCATATAATAATTTGGTGAGCTTTATAAATTATTTCATTTTTACATGAAGATGTGCTTGTCGAGATCCATTGGAATGCATGTATGGTTCTAAAAGCGAAAACAATCAAAAATGTATGTAATTTACATGAAAGGAATTTGTATAAAAGGAACTGAGGTATGTTAATTAATATGTACGGCTGATGTAATTCCACTAACTAATAATTACTCTTATTATGTTATGTCAAAATCTTTCTCTATTGACAATATCATAATTTTACAAAATACAAATATGCGTGATAACAAACATAGATGCAACAGGGCTACTAATCGCTTAGTCATTATAGCTAAAGCCACCGTACTAAAAGATTGTAATTGCATGACATATTCGTGAGAAAAGATATCATTAAAAGAGCGAAAATCATTAAACATGCCAGTAGAAATCATGCTTGAAACATACGAATAGAATAGAAGGTGAATACAACTATATGCATGTATTGTAAACGTATATATATATACACATACACGTGGAGTTTTATGCGTTATATGTATACAATCAGTATATCTTACAGATAGGAGAGATGAAAAGAGTTTAGATTAAAGACGATCATGCTGAAATAATTGATATTCAGAGATATTCGTGCGCAAATAACGTGTTTGCGGGCCGCAATATTGAACCAGCGCAATCCGTCAAATATACATCGATACATCGGCATTGAAAAATGATGCAAAACATATTTCTATGAGCAAACAGACTCACATCCATGCACATTTGGCACACATTAACACGCTCGCTCTTGGCGGAGAGTGTCTCGGATAAAAGACTATTATCATTGAACAAACTGTACAAATTGGTGGGTGAAGAGAAAGACACTTGAACCGCTCGCAAAACACTGAGGGTTCCCGCAGTTTGGCATTATTTCACGCTCGGTTCTATCCTCGAGGTCGCCCGAGGTCGATTTGCGGATTTGTCACTTGGAGTCTCGCGTGCCAGTTGAGTCAAGTTCAGTCAGGATGACGAGATGTCTGACGGAACCCGGGTTTTTTCTCTCTCTAAGATTTTCGGGGGGCACACAAGGACAGCGAAGGAACCGGGCCAACGCCCCTCTAACCAAACGCTGTACCGCCGACTGTCCTTTACGACTCGACAAGATATTCGGCGACAAGCGAATCCTCGAGTTGCGGGGCGTCTCTCCCACGGCTGCCCGGGTGAAGCCAGGGGCTTTCTCCGGATTCTGCGATGATTGGACCGCGCGCACCCTCACTCCGACACGGGGGATGCTACAGCACAGGGCCGTAGGCTCGGATGGTGCCTCCAGATTTTCCGCGATTTCGCGATTTCGATTTCTATTAGCGAGAACCGCGCGACGTTTATCCTAATTGATTGTTACCGCCTGTTACCGCCAATAATGTAAGTACCAATACTGTTTGTCGATTTGTCTTCGTTATCGGATTTTATTACGGTCGTACTTTCCTTCATACTCCTTTTTTAACCGTATTAAGTCAGAGTATGTTTTGTCATCGTAAGAAAAATAGATTAGAATTTATTTCTTTTTTTTTTTTAAATAATGTTAATTAAGAATCTAAATCGTGGACAAATAAAATACATCTTATTAGTCAAATAAAACATATTTCATATTAAATATGTTTCGGCAAATTGTATTATCTTTCTTCCTAAAGGGAGACAATTATATATATTACAGTATATCAATCAAATGTAACCGAAAAATTTCACCTCAATATTATAAAGCTATTAATTACTGATTTGTAAATCGAACAAAACGTATGAAAGATTGCTATAAATTAGTCGGTTCATTAATTATTGCTATCTCGTGAAAGATTCAACGTTATATTTGCATGTCAGTATATCCGCGAAGGGGTCAAAACAAATGTACCGAAAATAGTTGAAAATTTATGTACAACGATCCGTCGCTCGCACGCCAAATCGATAAAGCCTTTCTATATCACGGGAGATATTCTCCAATAGTAAAACTTGCATAAATCTTGGAAATGTCAAGGACTATCGACGCGCGAAGTGGAAAAAGATAATTTTGCGAGTGCGGGTAGATGCGATACATTTGTCACACCTTTACAATATAATTACATCTTTGAATTTAGGTGAAACTATCGGCATTACACAGGGTCTTTTACGGAAACAATGATCTCTCTCAGAATATTCAATTCAGATTTTAAGGAAATTTTATTTTCATTTATTTACGAAACATTGTATATCCTATTCTTGCGGAAGCAATGTATAAATATGACGATAAAGATGTTGATTTAGCCGGATTACGTAGCAAGTGACAAGCATTAAATATTTCTCAGCTATGTATACATGAGCGAACCGGGTGACAGGAGTCACCGGGATACTTTTGATAAGTTTATCAAGGTTGGATGGGACCGATTCGCACAGCCGTCCCTGCGCTCGTTGACGTTCGGTTCGAGTCGTGCAGTCTCGGTCCGGAGTCCCTGTCAACCGAGCCGCTAGAGAAAGAGAGACGCAAGACCCAGGGGCCACCCTTCGTCTCATCATCTTTTCGCGCTCATAGCTGGGCATATCTGGTCTGAGCCAGGCCTGGTCTCCTCTCCTCTGCTTCTCGAGGAATCGCCTGGAAAAGGTCCTTTTACCTCGCGGGACCCCTTTCCGCTCCCCGCGAGTGCCAAAGTCTCCCAATGACGTAGCTTCCGTTCCTTCTCCGTTCTAGAGCGACGTATTGATCGTCTCTCTGCTCCTGAAGCTGCGGAGGCTGACACCAGAGGGAAACGAACAGCGGAGAGAGAACGTGTCTACGGCGGAGGATGAGGGTTGTGCCGTAGAGCGTGCCTCTGTCGACGCTTAAAGAGACGGAGGGAGACGGAGGAGTTGGCCCGTGTGTATATATGTATAACAGATAGAAAAAGTTAAGTAGAAGGAGAGAAAGGATACGAGGCTCTCGCGCGAGGGGACGTTTTAAACGGCGGAGGAGTCGAATCGCGATAAGATGGAAAAAATGGAGTAGATATAGCGATGAGATGCCGTTCTTTTTTCATCAATATCGCTCCGGTTAGGGTGAATAAAAATAATCAAATGCGGATAAACAATAATTAATAAACGAAGAGCGTAAATGTAAAGAATATGTATGGCTATACACGAGTACAGAAAATAATTCACAGAGGAGGATGAAATTTAAGGAAGATAATAATGTATTTTTTAAATTATGGAGAGAGAGAAAAATATTTAAAAGATATTCTTATATTTCCCTTAAAAGACAATATATAATAATATTTAAGAAAATTGGAAGCAGTCGAAGAGGTAGAACAAGCGATTATTATTATATTAATATGCAATAGAATGAAAGTTTAATAAGGGAGTACTAATTCGATATAAATAGCAACCATTCGTCTCTTCATATAACATCAGCCGCACGTCATATACCACTCAACTACCTTTCCACCTGTCATTCTCTACTCACACGCAATATGTCTTCCTAAAGTTTGCTTACGTCTCATCATCGGGTAAAGTTGCGGCGTGGATAAAGCCCTGACAACAACGTGAGGATCTCTGTCTCCTGATCATTCCGGAACTTTGAGCAGGTCTTCATCAAACCAATCAGCTTGCACTTCGTGCGCAGAGTGACTAGACACCTGAACAGAGATTAATTATTAGAATAAATGTATAATTATGACATATAATTTATGTATTACACAATGGTTAATTAATAACGATCATTAATACCTTTCAGGGTCCGTCTCAGCGACTTATTCCGTATATGATTGCAAAAAATCAAGTTGGAAGAGAGAGAATCTTGATCAATTTTTTTCATTATCTACACGTCTCTCTTTTTACCGTAATAATATAAGCTGAATAATCGGAAATATGTTCGACTACGCGTCTGCGTTCCCAGACATCGTTTACAGACAAACCGTAATGTAGTTCACGCAGTAGCCACGTATTTATTGATTAATTCACTAAAGGTCATTGCCATAAAGGACCGCTTAGTCCAGCGCGACAAAATAAAAATAACGATATTGACGGATAAGACTCGTATTTTTCTTTTTAGATACAACGAGAAATATTTTAATTGTATTATTAAAAAATATTTATAAAAACATCTCATACTTATGTCAAAAACCACGAGTGACGTAGAACAAAATATCGTATAAAAGTTGTATAACACACAATGTATGGAAATTTTAAAACTGATTCGATTAAGATTTTAATGTGAAATGATTGTCTCGCAATCGCGACTTATTAAGAGATAACGTGCTATTAAATTAAATAAAAAAGCAAATACCTCATGCGAGATTTATTGTTTCGCAAGTCCCATTCGCGTCGCACTTGCACGTTCGGAAAGAAGCGTCGTCTTCGACTGGCACCACCTCGTATCGTGGAATGTGTTGAGAAGGAATGAACGTCCGAGCGGCATGCTTGGAATAATAATCCGACAGGCAGTCGATTTCCTTTTCTGTACTTGGACACGACTGTCGATCTCCGCATTCGTAGCTCGCGACAAATTTGAATCTGAAAACGGAATTGTGCGCCATAAAAGAATCGACAGCATTTCGTTCTGTGTGAATCGAATTGCTCTACGCGATCATTACGTGATCGATTCGCTGGCCATTGAGTCTTTTTAATTGCGTTAAATGTTATTAAAAAACTTAATTCAATTAAATTCTCTGGAAAACATGAAATATTAATCTACTTTGGTATTTAAAGAGAGATGATACAAGACGAGTCCATGTGTTCGAGGAATATGTTTCTCGTTTTCAGAATTTCTAATATAGTTAAAGAGTCCTGGGAATTACGTGCATTTTCTACTCGGTAGATATAAGCCAGCGTAATTAAAAGCTTAAACGATTAAGCTAATGTTATTGAGATGAATCTGAAGCGAGTTGGGCGGGTTAGGGATTCTAACAAGGAATTGCAACATCGCCCACGATAGAATTTAGGTTCCTCTCTTCCTTGTATTCCTATTTAAAAAATGCCTCTGCTGTAGTTAAGTTGAATCGTACACGTCAACAAAAATATTGCAAAAAGCGCGCTAATGAAATATTTATAAAATATTTTTAAAATAAATAAAATATTTTAAAAAATGATAAAAGATTTTATATTGACAATATTATTTTAAAATAGTAATTCAATAATAATTGATTATTAATAGTATAAAAAGTAGATTTAATACTAACAATTAACATTTATAAAATTTATTTAAAACTGTTGCATAATTATTATAATAATTTTACTAGTTTTCTTGCTTTCCTCGTTTTTTGCAATTCATTGAAAAAGTTAGCTAGAAAAGAGTCAAAAATTGCTGTTCTTTTTAATATCCCAGCTATGACCTGCCATAGATTGTTATAAAAACTTTCTCAAGACTCGTGATATGCTTTACTTACTACAATGCAACCACGTGCCAAGGTGTTCCCATTTCGGAAGCTTTCAAAACACCCTTTTATTCGTTAAAAGTAAAGTGAAGTTGCAAGAAAGTTAAGAAGATCCATAGAGAAAATCTATTTAATTGCTAAAAATGAATAGCAAGTTGAATGTAATAGCCTTATATTTGTTTTAGTACGAGAAATAAAACGGTTAATCAACATTTTCTCGTCCCGCAGCCAAGAAAGCGCGTTGTATGTTGCATTAATGAAACCATAAATCATAACGGGAAAGAAGAATGGAATGAGAAGGTCGGAATCTGAGTGACGTCCGCCGAGAGAACTCATTGCCGTTGTGATTCTGTCCATTCGTGAAGATCCGTGAAGAGGTTTCGCGTAACTTGAAGGATCGTGGGTCGGAGAAACGAAGGGGGTTTCAGCTTCTTCTGTACGGACGTTGACGCAGCTCCCGTGGGGCACTTTTGCGGATGAAGACCACCCTATCTTATACTTGACGTAGCAAGAAACGCTCTGCTTTGCTCTCTTATTTTTTCCCGCGCCTGTCATTTTTTTCATTCTTCTATCTCTTTTACTGATTCTCCGTTCGCAGAATCCATTTTGCGTTACTCCTCGTAACAATATACCTAGTGACAAAGAAAATAAAAACTGCAGATACATGAAATATCGATCAGTTAGATAATGTATTGACTTTGGTGTTGATTCTGAAGGCGAATTCTCTGCCATCATTCTTAAGTCTTTTAATAAATAGAAAAATGTTTCTGTAAACAACAATATTGAACTATAAAATATCGTAACGTGGTTTAGGAGGCGCTAGAGATTCCGCAAGAGACGATCATTTGTCAAAGTGAAGCGGATGCGAACATGAACACGTTATCGCGGCTTTACCGAGGTAATCTATCGCGTGTCTCCTACAAGAAAGAGATTTTTAAAGAGAGAACAGGACCGTCATACGCCCGTCATCGTAATAAGAAGCTGCAAAAAATTAAATGTAACAATCTAGTTTTTAAATATTACAGATATTTTGATGAAAATTATTACATATACATCTGTGGAAACAAACAGAAAGAGCTATAATAATTTTGATAGATGCAAAAGAAATGTTGAAGTCCTCGATAAGCCCATGTAATTCAAATGCTCGTAACGTAACTCATATTACATGACTGCGCCATTTTAATTAAAAAGTTGTATTTTTAGGGTGGAAGGAGCGAAGTGTGTAGTTCAACAAGTCGCAAATATATATATATATATATATATATATATATATATATATATGTATGTATATATGTATATATGTATATATGTATATATGCATATATATATGTATGTATACATATATATTTATGCATGTATGTGTGCATATTCGCGACTTGTGGAGCTACCTACCCATATATATAGGCATAGGCGGAGACGAGGGGTTGGCAGGCAGTCCAAAGCATTGAAGGGGGTTGGATCGTGATGGCAGGTGGTGGCGAGGGAAGAGGAAGTTGCGATTCCATCTGCCAGCCTGTCATTCTGATACTACGTACAATGTCGGCAGTTGGCGGAGACGATCAATACATTGCAATCTATATAAAATGGCTGCAGTATTTGGAGCGCTGTGCATAAAACGTTTTCCCTCGCGTAGAGATGAGAGAAACAAATATCATCCACTTATGGCAAATTAAATAGGTATCTGTTTTATATTCTATATAAAATGATTTTTCTTCACTTTTTATCCTTACACGTTTGAAAAACTATAGCAATTATTTATCATGAAATAACTTTTTAATAAGCTTGCGTATGAAAAAATATATTTATAAAATGTACATAAAATATCAATATATAATTGCAAAATATTAGATATTTTAATATCTCATTATTGCTGTTTATTTGATTATTTTTCATGAAAAATTTTATCTTCTTTATAATTTTCCATGTATTTTCCTACATTCGATTCCAAGTCATAACAAAAAGCCAAAGTTGGAAAGCATATTTCTTGTATAATTGACGTCATTTTAGATCGTGCCAGGAATAACGAAATATATGAGCAAGTAACATGTAATCTATGTGTATGGATTTCATTTTTATCGTTAAATTTTGCGTTAAAGAAAATTGCGTTAAAGAAAAATATTCGCTTTAGATTCAACATATTCATAATATATATTTTTACTGAAATTTGATAAATAATAGTTGTACACGTACAATAACACGTAATCTCATCTCATGAAGAACATTAGCATAAATTGTATTATATATGAACATTTCTCATCACTACTATTAAAGCGATTGAAAATTTTTATTAGAAGAAAAAAACACACTTTGAAAAACTATAAAAAATATTAAAATATATTTATTTATCATGTTATAGAATATCAAAACATATTTTTTAACAATGTATAGAAAAATTTAAAATAAATCTTTATTTCAACTGTTCTCCATGAAATCTGGGAATAATTAATGATGAATATTATAAAAGATTCTATTAAATCATTTTCGCTTTCAAGTAATTATTAAATATTTTAAAAAATATAAAAAATTATTTATTTTTGAAAATTTGCGTCACAGGATGTTTCTATGTGATTTTAATCAGATTTAATCTTATTTATCAAATTAATTTACTTGATTATTCGGAAAATTTTAAGTTTGTTGCGTACACAATGATATTAAAAAGATTTTTATTTTAGATTTTATTTTAGTTATATCCTAGCAACTACGGAGGGAAGAAACAGAACGAATTGTTATAGCAGCGTCATCTTTTGCATACCCACTGATACTGGGAGATCACCGACAGATGGCACCAATCATATCAAGGTACTTCTTGTTCGATTCTCTCTTTAAAGAATTAAAATAAATTGCAGGAAAACTTAGGAAGATTTACTCACACACATTTACACTCTTCGACTCATTGTCTTTTAACACAACTTATAATTCCACTCTTACAGATTAAATATTATTTACATTACAGTCTTAAGTCTACTAACTGAAAGTGGATAATAATTGCGAATTTTACTCTTATCTTTTATGTATTTTCAAAAACTAATCCAGAGAGATGTTCGTATAATCGCTTTTTTAATTTAATTAAATATTAAAAAAATAAAAATATACAAATGTAAAAATGATTCAAATGATACAAATCAAATAAGAAACGAAAGAAGGATAGGAACCAAAGACGCAGGTAATAGTGCATGACAGTGGTAATATATTATGATAGAAACTTTTGTAAAGTTATTTATCTTATGTACACTAAGAAGCGCAAAAGGAGTCAATGCAATAAAATAAAAAGAAATTGAGAAGAAACGGTAGGGTCGCACAATTGCATCGTAGACACTCCTTTTTTTATTATTCAATTAGGTTGATTTAAATAATATTATATTTTTCCTATTTGAAAAGGACCCAGGTCGAAACGTCGTAGACAGTACATTTTAAACATTTATTTTTGCGCTTCTTGTTGTATGTAAGATAAATAATAATATATTATCACTATCACGCACTCTTACCTGCATCTTTGATTCCTAGCCTTCTTTTGTTTCTTATTTAATTAAATATTATTAAATATTATTATAAGAACGTTTTATTTTTTCATGCGCATTTATGTCACGTACTTCTCATCACGATATATTTTCAGATATGCACACAAATTAAACACGTGTAATCACTTTCCGATACAAATTTATCGCACGATTCATGACACGATTATGCCCCGACGATTCAATATGGCCGAGTTGTACGCACATGAAAGCAACACGTGATCGTGCAATTAATTGTCAGGTAAAAGTTGTCCGGTAAAACGGGAGAACGAGAGAAGAAAGCGGGATTGCGTTCCCCGATGTGACTGTACAGAAGGCAGGCCAAAGCGAAACTAACTCAGCTTGCGTGCAATAAAGGAGATCATTTTGAATCCGTGCCGCTGAAATTTATGGCCTCCCTTCCACAAGGAGAGTTCTCGGGGATTTGCCGCGCGATGCAGCGCGGTAAAAAGCGCGCCGACTATTAATTTGACATCTACTATACTGCGAGAAGCGTGATTTCGATATCCCACCTTCTTCGCTTATCGATGAAATCGGGGAAAGTATTTTACTTATCATCTTCATTAGGAGAAAAAACAGTAATTAATTAATTATCATTATACGGTATTAGAAAATATTTATATATAAAATATATAT